ATGTGTATATTTTAGTTTAAGTGAGAGGGTTCCTGGGTTTGAAGAAACAGAAGGAAGAAGAAGTAACTAATTACGTGATTTTATCTGATTAATTGTTGTTGTTTAAAGTCGTCATCTATTTGTGTTTGCAAGGTGAGTGTTCTTGAACGATTATGGAACCGTATGATTTTCGTACTTGGGTGTTCTTGAACGATTATGTTCTATTTATTATCATAATTTTAGGTTTTGATATGTAATTATCAACTGTCGGGAATAAGGGTGGCATAATCAGCATAAATGTATATTTTGTAATAAGGATGACATAATCAGGAGCTGGATAAATTTGTAATAAAGTTGACATAATCAAGAGTTGGGTAAATTTATAATAAGGGTGACATAATCAGGAGTAGGGTATATTGGGATAAGGGTGACACAATCAGATCTCTGAAGATAAGTCTGTAGTCTTCTTTTTCAGATCTCTGAAGATAAATCTGCAGACTTCCATACTTGACCCAAATTGCTTTAATAAAATCTTCATGATATTTAGGACAATTTTGATCCAAACAGTTAGTATTACAAATATGGATTTATAAACTTGATTTGATGATTTTCACCTTGTAATTGCATAAAGGGAATTTCTCACTAGACCTCAAGGTCTAACCCTCATTTTGTGTTTCAAAAATATGCATTACAAGACGGGCTCAATCTAAGGAAAAGGGAAAAGGGAAATTGTGAGATGTCTTATATGCTTACATGGGATATGGAAGACATCATGCTTATTTGTGGTCTTTTTGAAATACTTATTATATATACTAGTTTTGTATATGTAGCTTTTGCATATTTGGGACCGGATATGTAAATTTGTATTTCTTGATATATGAAATATTTGGTTATATACAAATATGATTCTGGGGTGTTACAGTTGTTTTGAGTATGAAGTGCATCCATAATTTATGTTTTCATATCTTGGATTTCTTTCATATTTTGATGTTTTGGATAGTAGAGTTCTATCCATAATTTAAATATTTGATTATTAAACTTCGTTCATGTTTTGGATGAGTATTGGATTTGATTTCATGTTAAAATGGGTGTCTTGGTCACTAAGTTTTCATCACAAAAATGGTGGATTGTGAAAGGATGTTGCTTTTGTACCAAATACATTTCAATTTGGAAATTGTGTAATTTAATTAGCATATTTTCAGTTTTATCGTTTTATATTATAGATGAAAATTATTTGAACTCGCTAGAAATTAAGCCTACTCAAGTCCTTATTGGGGTTTGATACTAGCGATATTGTGATAAATTGAGTGTGTGTTAGAGGCACGAGAAGGATCTAGCAATTTGGTGACGTATTCCACATTTGGGGATAACGACTGTTATTGGATTTTAGTAACATCCGACCTTGACCTAGTCTTTATGTAAGGCTTGTTTTACGATTGATGATGAAAAATATAGGTTTGTCATTTGAGGTAACTCAAGTATTGATTTATAGAAAGGGATTTGTTCTTTAAATGTTGTATTATTGGAAATCTTAAATTAGTCTTTTTTTTCCCAGAATTGAGTGTGTCACACTTCAACATAATCAGGTATTGCCTGACTCTTAGGGGCTGTTTGGTTCATGGATTTGAATGGAATTGAAAGGAATTGGAATGGTCAAATCCTTTGACCAAATTCTAAATACAATGCTTGGTTAATGGAATAAAACTGATGGAATCCTTTCAATTCCAATAAATTCCTTCACTCACGGATTTTACATTCCATGACAATACCCTTGGATTTCAATTTTCTTCTGACAAATTCCTTCCCTAATCCAAATTCATTCAACGTTGCGTCTACCATCTCATCTAATTGATCTCTGGTTCGATCTCCATCTGGTACGCTCTCGCCCTCTCTCTCTCTCTCTCTCGTAATTTCTCTATCTATACGAGATCGATTGACAACATATGTAATCAAGGAATCGATTCAAGATAACTAGCTATCGATATCACTAGTCCAATTCTGTTATTCAAAAATCGTAAAAGGTCATTTGTTGATATTTAATTCCGATTTCAAAGTTGAATTCCGTGAACCAAACAAAAAAATTCCAATCCGTTAAGTATTTTATTCCATTTTCATGCAACCAAACGCAATCACAAGGCATGGTCAAATTCCATCAAATTTCATTACATTCCCTCAAAGTCAAATTCATTTGATGAATTCCAATTACATCGAATTCCATTCTACGAACCAAACGCCCCCTTACTTTCTTGATAGTTTTATTAGAGGACTTAAGGCAACTTTGAAATATCTGTTAGAGCCATTAAACCTGGTGCTCTAGCTGAAGCGATAGAGTATGCTCGATTACAAGAAGAGAGTTTAGAAGCAGCCAAATTGTCCTACAATTCTATATCTCCTTTTGATAATAGATCACAACCATCTTCTAAGCCCTTGCATGGATCTATCTCCTGCATTCAAATTAAACCCACCACAAGTTAACTCTTCTAAGGCCATTCACAAACCACAAGAGATTTTATCAGCCACTGACATGGGGAAAAAATAACTTAACTAACGGTTCTTTTCTTTTTGTGTCATTTCTGCAACATCCACTGCATATTAAAATATAACCGGACTCATAACCATAATCAGTTTTCCTAAAAAAAGCTTTTAGTTTCCCAAATATACTTTTCTATCATGCAGCCTCAGTAGAAACATGTAATTCAGCAAACTGGGTCTTTTCTTAAAAATTTCGAAGTGTATTCTTAAACTGTCACGTTACCCTATTCACATTACAAAAGTTCCTCTTCTAACTATCGCACTGCCATATTTAGACAAAACTTATCTTTGAACCACATCCGAAAATTCTTTCCATTACATACTTTTAGCAATAATTGAACCTTTCGAAGACATCACAATATTCCATCGAACGATGCATCTAATTTCAGTACAGTTATAACCAAATAACCCTTTCATTCAAACACTTACTACATCAAAAATTATTTTCATTCAAAATATTGCTTACCAGAATAAATCAGAGACTTACAAGTCAAAAACACTTTATAATCACAACCTGTCTGAATAACAGTAACAGATAGTGTCAGGACAGTTTGATTACCAGAAGAAATAGCAGTCAAATTCATTCACTTCGGTTCCCTCACTAGATTTGAGATTTATCATATTTTTTGTTTCAATATTTTAGGGGTGCCCCAATAAAGATTTCAAAACAGCCCAAAGTTAACCAATCTCAGTGGTCATATCTTTCCGGATTATTTTCAATCGGAGAATCCGTCCCATCCGGATTAATGGATGCAACCCTTTCAAACGACTAGAATGGTTTGCCATTTAATAAATCATAGAATAAACACACTTTAATCAAATTCCCAAATATAATAAGGTATTCAAGTACAAACATGCACCTGTAAATAGTATTGTGTTACAGACTCCTTCAATTTGTTGAACCTTTTTTCCTGTTCGATTTCGATTTTTTTCCACCGAGGCTTTTTTTGTTCGATCTTTTTAGCAAGGTTTTGATCGATTAATCACCAAGGTTGCTTTCACTTTTCATATGTTTGTAGTAAATAGTAGTAGTCCATAGATATATGAAATACGTGAGTGAAATGAGACGTGGGGTTGTTCATTGAATAATATATGCATCAACGTGATGCCCTCTTCTTCTCTTTAAAACAATAAGAAATCATATTATCATAACATTTCAAATAAAAAGTATTTTGTTTTGTTTCCTTAAATTTGATGATGTCTTAGGGACCGTTTACTTAAATGCTTATCTGGTAAGCACTTCTTGTTAAGAGTCAGCATTATAATTTATTTTATTAGGTAAGATTGTAGGTTATTAAAATGGTAGCGTATGCAATAATTTACCTGGTAAGCACTTACCCAGGTAAGAGTCGTCACCCTCACTTAACGAGTAAGACTCTCCATCTTTATCATTATTCTTACCGGGTAAGATTTTTTACCCTTGCCATGTTTATCTAAACTCATTTTTTTTTGTACAAAATTATGCCAATTTAATTACATTAAATATATAATTATCATCATTTTACATTTATTATTAAGAAAACTGTGACAATTTACTGGGAAAAGACCATATAATTAAGCATTACAATAAAATCAGGTTTATGGAAATCAAAAAAACTTAATCGTGCTAATAAACCGTTTTATATGACTTACATTATAGAAACGAAAAATAAATTTTTTTCTCTAAAGGCGTCGTAATAAGTTTGTAGGACGTTTTTGTACGTCTTAATAAGTTTTTAATACGTGTCTCATTAGCAATTTTATAGCATGCTATTCAAAAAAATGTTATATAAAAACAAGTTGTCCTATAAAAAAAATGAGTTTATAGGACAATTTCTCAAAAGCATTCTATAAAATTCCTAATGAGATGTTTTATATTATAAGTGTACTAAAAAACTTGTTAAAACTCTCAAAAACGTCTATCAACTTATTACAACGCATTTGGATATGACTTCTTATATTTTAGTCATATAAAGCATTCTATTAGAACACTTAACAAGGTAGTATCTTATAACTCTACTTATCAAACCATTAATCGTCTGGTTTTAGGATCAAATCATTAATGGTTTATGTTTAGTTTCAGATTTTTAATCGTTTTATGTTTAGTCTATTTTTGTTCTTAACGTATATTCTCTGTTATCTCATTTATGCAAAGTAATCAAAAGTTCTTGATGTAACAGGGTCTCCAAAAAGATTGGAACGTCCATGGATGCACATTAGGATACCGAGATAAGATGCATCGGATCAATCCACGTACCATACATGATTCATAGATAAGTTTGAGATTAAAGGTGATTAAGATCCTCTTACACTTCTTTCCTTTTAACTCTACTTTATCATGCATCCACAGGGCTTACGTCATCATCTAAATTCACCCACTATCTTGATAATGTAGAACTTCTCGTTTATATAGCGATCTTGAATTCTGGCATTTAAATGGTGGAGACCATCACATTTGGGTTATATATCTAAGACCAAATCTTGGGCCATAAACAGCTTACGAGATAGTTATGTCCACTTTTAAGAATAACTACGGGTGTGGCCTGTTCAACACAGTTTTTCGACCACGGCCAAAACCATCGGCTTCGGCCGCTTCGCTGCCGACTACCAATGTGCCGGACGTCCCTAGAACTCCGAAAAGGCCTGACAGAATCGTTGCTACGACTTCGCCAAATCAACAAACAAAGGCCACCCCACCATTATATGTTCAACAAGTAGCTAGAAAAGGTACACCTGATGAAAAGATAGGATCACGAGGGTCGGAAATCGAACGAAATGATGATCGACACGGCTACTACCAACGCTATGGCAGAAACAATAAGGTTCCTCAAGGATCAACTGGGATATCTGGGGAACTTGAAGCCATGATCGATGAGCATCAGAGCTCAAAGAATGCTGGTAACATGATAATCTATGGCAATTTGGGTAACTTACGGCAAGGGAATTTAAACGATATCAGTTATCATCCAAAAACCAAACGAAATCAGGAGCAATCGAGCAAGAAATCGAGCAAAAAGGATCAGAAATCAGGAAAAAACCCAACTTCTTTGTGTAGAGCTCTTTCAACAAGAATGGATCCTGAGCAGTTGAAGATCATGGGCAACGAAGATTACAAAAACGGACGATTTGCTGAAGCTTTGTCACTTTATGAAGCTGCGATTGCAATCGATCCCAAAAAGGCGTCATACAGAAGCAACAAAAGTGCGGCCTTAACGGGTTTAGGTAGGCTTTTAGAAGCCGTGTTCGAAGCCAAAGAAGCGATCAGCATCGAGCCCTTCTACCAAAGGGCTCATAATCGTTTAGCGACGTTATATCTAAGGTCATCATACACGATATAACTCTTTTACACGTAAATTTTATGACCATTGTCTATTTTTTAATGGGAAAACTCCATTATCGTCACTGCTGCAGATTAGGAGACGCTGACAAAACAATACATCATTATAAACAATCGGGTTCAGAAGCTGAACCCGACCTGATTACAAGAGCCCGAAATCTTCAGGTGCACCTTAACCGGTGCATCGAGGCCAAGATGCACAGAGATTGGAACACATTGTTAAAAGAAACCAATCTAGCTATATCAGCTGGTGCAGATTCTGCACTAAAGGTAACTACATAGATCAATCCCATACTACAACAAAACTGGATTCATGGGATCATATTAATGGTTCCATTAAGAGGGTAACCTTTTAATCGTTAAGAGGTGAATCTTGTTTGGTAAAAAAAAAAGGTCTGCCTCTTAATGGTTCTAAAACCTTCTCAATGATTTTGTATCATGGATCTCCCTTAACCATTAAAAGCCCTAATTTCATTATACACAATTACCAAACAATTATATTTCATTTTGTACTATATCATGAAAGCCTTTTAATCATTTTGACTACTTAATCATTCTGCACAAAACCATTCAACAATTATCAAATAACCCCCGATATGACTAAAGTCTATATCATCAAGCAATTGTATTGTCAGTGTTTTTTAAGAGTGTCTTATAAAAAAACTTAATAGTATACTTTATTTAAAAAATGTTCTATCATTGATTAACTTTTACAATATATACTATATTGTAAAACATTTGATAAAAACTCTTAAAAATTATTTTTTATGTATGAAGGACTGTTTATTGATGCATATTACTTAAAATTCAAGATTACAAGTAAATTGTGCATAAGTATTAAAATTTCATGTTTGAATTCATGTAACTAACTGTAGATAAAAATAATCAAACAAAGGATAAATATCTCATTTTAAATATAAAAAATCTAAAATATAGTTAGGATAATCATTAACTTCTAACAAACTACTTGATTATTATTTTTATAAAATATTATATTATTAAATCAAAAATAAAAAAATAAATTAAAAAAATACACAAAAAATGAGAAATTTTAAATAGTAAGTTTGGTACTAATATCAATATTTTTCTTTCAATTTTTTATGATATCATCATATTCATATTTTATTCAAAAATAAATATTTTCACTTTCTCAAAACCACATAAAACCGTATTATGACATCGACTGAGACAAAAAAAGAATAAAACGAAACATTAAATCGAGATGTATCTCGCTGCATTGTACGAGTACCATTCTAGTTTATTATTAACACAATCAACTTCATAAATTAACATTGGGTGTTTTTATATATTGAAGATCTATGCATTGAAAATGGAGGCGTTGTTGAAGTTGCATAGGCATGAGGAAGCAGATGAGGCGTTGAGAAATGCACCAAAGTTTGAAGTAAATGACTGCACCAAGTTTTATGGTCCGATCAGCCATGCTTATTTTCTGGTTATAAGGGTTCAAGTTGATCTAGTTGCTGGCAGGTACATTTCCTTTTTTATTTTTTAAGTACTAGTAGTTATCTGTGCAATGTGGTGGGAGCATTGAATTTTAACGATTTTGAAGTTTTACTGGTTTTATTAGAGAAGATTTAACGATGATATAAGTTACACTTGGTCTTTACATATTAATACAATTTCAATAAATAAGAGTTATAGTTCCAATTACAGTCTATCGATGAAAAAAATTGTATGACAGTTTAAAATCCGATATATTTAAAATCCAACATATTTAAATGACTCCACAAATGTATTCGATTTACAATAAGAGCAAAGAATCAAGAGATCGAGAACGGGAGCAAGAGTTCTAGAGCAATTAAATGGGAGATAAATGAGAGAACTTTTAATAACTCATGGTAAATATCAGTTTGAATTTCACCTTGGAGGATGGGGAGAAGACATAGAGGTATGAGTGAAATGTATCAAAAGTATCTTGGGAACATGAAAAAAAAAAGTAACAATGTGCATTGATAACTTGTACTATATGTTATTTTAATTGTAAATTAAGAGATTTTAATACTGAATACATAAAATACTAGTACTTAATGCATTATGAGTTGTTTTTAAGACTTTTAAAACTTTGTGTATAAATATATAGTACTTTGTGCATTAAAGATTATTTTTAAAACTTTTAATAAATCTGATTTATAAGGTAGTATAAATATAATATTTATATACACAACAAAACTCTCGTACACTTATCGGCTTTAATAAAGTGGATAAGCACTATGATAAATCACGTTTATGCAACAAAAACGTCTTAGCGGCCGCTTAATTTATACATTTTAGTTTATAAGATCAAAGAACCGTGCCACTAATGTAAAAGCATTACAATAAGTTTGTAAGATGTTTTTGAACGTCTTAATAAGTTCTTCACGACAAATGAAGTGTCAGCATTAGTTTTTTTACATGACACTTTTAAGAAGTATTTTGTAAACACGTCTTTTTATAGGACACTTGTTTTATAAGCCATTTTTTTAAATAATGTTATAAAAATTTATTGGGATGCTTTATTTTAAAAGTGTCCTGATTTTGTTGTAATATGAATTTTGACCCGTTTAACTCAGTGTTACTATGCAACCGAGCCGCTTGTCGAACCAAGCTCGGTCAATTCGAGAAAGCCATCGAGGATTGCACTCTAGCTTTGAACATCCGACCCTCTTATAGCAGAGCAAGACTACGAAGAGCCGACTGTAATGCTAAGGTGAACCATATATGCATCTCTCTCTCTCTCTCTCTCTCTCTCTCTCTATATATATATATATATATATATGTGTGTGTGTGTGTGTGTGTGTGTGTGTGTGAAGGATCGTGTAGAAAAGAGAGTTAGTCAGAAGCGTAAGAAGGGATCTGGACCCTTGATCATCTTTAATATCAAATCCACCCATGAATCACGATTGCATATCATCTTAATATGCATCCAAAGATCAAGATCTCTTCTTACGCTTTGGACCTTAACAAAGTTTCAAAATTTTCTAATCAGTGTAACAAAGTTCCAATATTTCTTATTTGTTACTAATTTTGACAACAACTTGTTGATCTTATAACGTACAATGACATGAGTGAGCTTGTCAAGTTTATTGTCCACTTTACTCTGAAACATTTCATAAACATGTATCCATATTAACATCAAATGTTACAAAGTTACCAAGTTACCCGTCAAAATGATAAAAAGATAGAAAATCTTGAAACTTTGTTACGTCGACTGTAAAAAAATGAGATGTCGACATTTAAGGTTCGTTTACCAAACATTTACCCGGTAAGTGTTTATCGGCAAAATTCAACACTATCGCTTACTTACAGGTAAGATTTTAGTCAACAAAAACTGCATCTTATGCAACAATTTGCCCGGTAAGCGCTAACCATGGTAAGAGTCGTCGTCCTCACTTACCGGGTGATACTATTTGTGTTTGTCTTACTCTTACCGGGTAAGATTCTTGGTTCTTGCCTTATTCACCCGGTAAAGTAATATGACTTGATAAACACTTACCCGGATAAGTGTTTGGTAAACGACCCTTAAAGAGTAGATTATTTTTCCATTTCACTTAATTAATAAAGCATTATTTTTTTATTTTTTATTTTTTGTGTTTAATTAAAGCAGTTAGGAAAATGGCAAGCAGCCATAGACGATTATAAGTTGCTAGCAAAAGAAGCACCAGAAGATGAGGAGGTGACCAAAGCCTTGAGAGAAGCTAAAGAGCAACTGAAGACACAATGAGGTGATAAAAAAGCATACAAAAAGGTACAAAACAAAGGGGTTTAATCGACGGATTTTTCTGTCTGGAATTTTTAGTACGGATTTGTGACGAATCATCGATGGATTGACGATTACAGACGTAATCACGATCACCGTTAGTATAAAGTCTCTTTATTTTATAGTATGTAATGTAAAAGTTGTACGAAATAAACTGTTTTTATAGAAATACGTTTTGGTGGTTCCTTTTGTTTTACCACATTACTGTTTTCCAATTGATAACGAAATATAAATTGCGGAGCTAGGTTGTTTTTATATGTTATATATACTTCTTCGGTTAGTTATACCTAAATATTTAATAAGAGGACCAGAATTTATCGTAAGAGGAATGGCAAGGACCAACAATATTACCAGCAAGATAAGATGGAATATATTTATTAATTATATTTATGTGTTACATATACTCGTTGGGTTTGTTTTATCATATTATATGCATAAACATATAAGGTCTGGTTAAGGGGAATATCGTAATAAGAATTAAAAAGTTGAGAAACACCCTAATAATCATTCATATTTCTATGATATACATATGTGCTTAGACACCAGGAAACATATTCAATTACTCGATACAAATAAATGGTTATCAATGGCTTTCTCACTTTTTCATTTTTTTGTGTGGAGATTTTCTCTTTAACCCCTCTCTCTCTCTCTCTCTCTCTCTATATATATATATATATATATATATATATATGGTTAGGTTCCGATGGAAAGGAGAGTTATGTTGATAAAGATAAACGGGATCTCCACCTTTGAATCAATCCTAATTGAAGATTAACACTATTGAGATCACTGGATCAACTCTCTTCTAAGCACAATTTCATAGGCAGACATGAGATTAAAAGTGATCAAATATGGATATCCCTTCTTACTTTTCTCACCTTAACTTTTTTTCTCACACGATCCTCCCTCATATATATATATATATATATATATATATACACACACACACACACACACACGTAAATTGCATTAAAATGTAATATACTTTGTCTTGGTTCCTATTTTGGATTACCTACTTTTAAACCCTTCATTTTGATACTTAGGAAGTAAATTTTCAAACTTTTAAGTACCTAAGAGTAACTGATTACCATACTGATGTGATAACTCCACATTTTTTTGATAATGTGGTAAATGATGTGATTTTTTTTATATAAGTATAGGAGTTGTTTACCAAACACTTACTCGAGTAAGTGAACATCAAGTCTCATTACCTTACCGGATGAATATGATCAGGATCTAGAATCTTACCCGGTAAGAACGAGACAAAGATCAAGAGTCTTACCCGGTAAGTTAGGACGACGACTCTTATCACGGTAAGCGCTTACCAGGTGAATTGTCACATATGATACCCTTTTATTGAACTAAAATTTTACCCAATACCTAAATGATAGTGTTAAATCTTACCGGTAAACACTTACTGGGTAAGTGTTTGATAAACACCCCCTTATATTTGAAATATGTTTTACTTTAAACAAAAAAAAAATTAATTACGAGAAAACCTAATCTTCCTATCTTCATCAAGTAACCCAAGTTCCCCATCATCTTAGAACCCATGTTTCCCAACCTTCTTCATCTTTGTCATTTTCCAAACTTTATAAATTACAAGAACTCATATTCAAAAACTCATCATATTATCCGGATTCAAAGATGTAACTTCAAAAAAGTTACAAGAAAACCTAAAGTTCCATTCTTCACTTTAGAACCCAGTTGCTTGTTTATGCAAGTTGACGGAGCGGGATGACACATGTATCGACGATGGATAAGTATCATATGAGAAAAAGAGTTAAACTGAGAAGCGTAAGAAAGGATCTGGACCTTTGATCACTTTTAATCTCACACTCACCCATGACCACAAATTGTAACACCCCCCCCCTACGCAGCCTAAGACGGGGTTGTATTGTACAATCTGATAATCAGATCAAAACTCAAAAACATGACAAATCTGAGCGATACTAAGATTCTCAAAATAACATTTATATTGAAAAACGAAACTTAAAACATATGTACCACCCAAAATACTATCGTCTAACTATTCCCAAACATAGGTATACAAAAACATGGAACTTATGACTTCCATTCCTAGCTTAATATTGATCCCTCGTCTCGGCCCTAGAGTGGTACCTGAAATTGTCGAGAAAACAAAACACTTGCTGAGAAAACAAAACAAACCTCGGCTGAGCAATTTCGCTTAGTAGACGGATATGTATATGAATATATAATATCAAGGTAATCACGGCAGATAATTCATAACATAATATCAAACATTGAAAAGATTTTTTGAATAAATTAATGAATCATCTGTGTTGCAATAATATGTTGTCTAGTCAGATGATCAGTCCGATTAGACTTGGAATGTCAATGTAGGGCACAATTCTACCCATCCCCCAGTAACCAGTTTAAATCTGGTATTTGGTTCTATCCAGTAACTAGGCATATTCTGGTGTTCGGCTCTTGATTACATCCTACATCCTTATTTGACTTGGCCTAGCCTTTACGAAAACGCCATGTTTATCAATAGCCACCATGGAGGCATCTCGACATCCATGGCCCAAGTGTTGAGTCTAAATCAAAAACAATAAAACTCATGTCGCTAAATCAATGGTTCCATCAATCTTAAAACTAAATCTCAATTCTCATAATAATCAATTCAACCAATAATGGATCGTAACATAATATTCAAAACAACGAAAACGGTTCAGGGAATAATCAACCGAAAACATATCATAACTTTAAAAAATTCATTTCATTTAGGAATCATGCAAATTACGTTTAGCACGAAGTCATAAAGCATTAAATCAAACTATTTCATAACATGCTCAAATCATGAAGCAAATTCAATGTTATAGCATAAACCAAAACCTTAAAACGAAGATAAAGTTTCTTATAAAGTACTCAGAGCCATTAGGCTCGGAGTCACATCTATCAACATGGATGGAATTTCCAGAATGTACCTAATTATCCTTGAGTAAAGGGAATAGGATATTTGTACCTTAATTAGCCCTTTCCTGACTTCCGATCACCTCAAGTGACCAAAATGCTTTAACTTTGATATCTTCAACTCTTCCTTGAATCTAATCAGCCCCAACCAAATGCATACACTCGAACATATATTGAACCTATCAAAACAAACATTAAAGTCTAGTAAAAGTTACCTTGAACAATCTAGCTTTAATCTTCCAAAACCAAGTGTAAATCCTTTCATTTCTTCACAATTCTTGCTTCCTCTCTCTAAGAGCTCTCTCTCTCTCTCTCTCTCTCTCTCTCTAAACTAATTTTGATAGGTTTAAGAAATGAAGAATCAGGAACATTAATCTATCTCAATGATAAACTATGATGTTTAGGAGACTTTCTATTCAACCCCCCCCCCCCATTCATGTTTTTCTACACTTTACACTCCTCAAGTCTTTTCTTTATACTTTTACCCTAACAACCTTAGGTACCCCAACAATGAAGCCATTGACAAGTTTCTAGATGACATTCACTACGACTGGCCGCTGAAGAAAGACTCTGATTCAGAGCTCAACAAGTCTCTGACCAAGATTGAGAAGAACCGGATGTCTGCGGTCTGGAAATACCTGTTCTTTCACTTTATTCAGTGCATCGGTGGGAAAATCGGGGGGCCAAGACCAAGCGAGTCGGGTAGCACTGAATATTGGCTACTCGGTCATCAAGAACGTCAATGCTGACTTCTCTTAGCTTATCTTTAACGACCTGATGCTGAAGCTGAGCCAATAGGAGAAGGTCATTCAGTACACCAAGTTCCTGAGTGGGATTATAGCCAGAATTTTGAAGCATCACCACCCCGCTTAGAGTGACCTTCCCGTTTGTAGGCTTGGATCAAGGGTTCTTGATCACAAGTCCAAGTCTTCAGTCTTCTTCTTCTTCTTCTTCTTCTTCTTCTTCTTCTTCTTCTTCTCCTCCTCCTCCTCCTCCTCCTCCTCCTCCTCCTCTTCCTCCTCCTTCTCCTCCT